TGGTGGTGGGTGGGTGGGTGGTGGTGCGTAATAATTTCCAACGTTTAACAGGAACACGTTAAAACCAATGACGTGTACGTCCGCCTACAAGTAAAATATTTACAATTGGTATTCATCAAAGTGGTTCATCGGTCGAATGTTTTAGTCACATCCTCACCCTGTGCAGGTTTTAATTTTCTACCAAAGTTACAATCGTTAAATCAAAAACCGAGTCGAGTTAAAAGTTTGCCAAGAGAACAAAGAAGAACGTGCAGAAAAAATAAAAAAAAAAAGAAAATGAAGAAAATTTGTTGATACGTTTTCTAGAGGATGGGAAGCAGACAAGGGGCCAGGGGGGGGAGCAGGGGGTTTGGTATAAAGCGTTCCAGAAGACTTTTCCAGAAATATAACGATTCTCTTTACTCGCCAATTTTATTTCTGACATCTTACTTTGCTTCTCCTTTCCTTTTCCTTTCCTTGTTTCGAAATAAACAGAGTGCATTAAACCTGTGCATTTAAAATGTTACGAGAAAGTTTCAAAGGTTTTACAAAATATGCGATCATGAAAATGAACTATTTAAAAAAAAAAAAAAAAMAAAAAAAAAACAAAAAAAGAAAGAAAGAGAAACAAGGAAAGTAGAATTAATAAAGAGTCATAAAAGAATTAATTATAGATATTTATAATAACAATAACAATAATAATGATATGCATCTCGTAACCATATCGTGATGCTTTTTAACAGAAAGGAATCTTGATCATTTTTCTTGCTTGATCTTAAAGAATGAAAGGAAGAAGAAAGAGAGTGAATGAGAGAGAAAGAAAATCTTATAGTTAGCGTATTTCAGGTCTGTGAGCCATCGGAGCTTCCCTCTTCTCGGTTCCTTCCTTCCCCCCTTTCCCCCTTACCATCCCCTTTCCTCTAACAGAAGATATTTATGGTAGCAATTAAATTCGCGAGAACACACGATACTCTCGAAGATTCTCTTAGAATCTCGCAAACACGCGTAGGAGGCCCCACCACCTCTTCTCGATTATAAATGTAAACGTAAATGTAAATGTAAATGTAAATGTGTAAGTGTAAATGCATATGCACGTATCATCACTAAGCGTGTATCACGCGTGTATTCTATAAGAACATTAGTTTATCCTTCTGTTTCTATTTTTCTTTCTTTCTTTCTTCGTGTTTGTTCTATCGTATTTACTTCCTCGTTTAGCAATTTGATCTTAGAAGATTATTAAAAAAAAAAAAGAAAATGGTCAATAGGTACGATTTGTCTGGAAGTTTAATTACGAGGAATAAAGAAAGAACAAAAAAAAAGGGAATAAGATTGGTTAGAATTTAAAGAGAGAAAAAATGGATTGATTCAATTTATGGGGAATGGGGGATTCTCGTTCCACCACCATGGGATCGTGTTAGATATTTCACGAGGAATAATATAAGGTGGATTGAATGTTGGTTTGATTTTGTAATTTTAAAAAATTAATGATCGTCGATGATAGTAAAAGAAAGATTGATGACTATGATTTTGTTCGATTTCTTCTTTGTTTTTTTTTAATTATTTACTTTTATTACAATCATTAATTGAAAAGTGATAAAATATATTGAATTATTGTCATAGAAAATTCTTCTCGAGTTTTAACCAAAACGTAAAATACGAAGAATGTGAATGCGTATTATATCTGTGTATTCTTTACATATATATATATATGTTTGTGTGTGTATATATATATATATATAAAAGTATTGGTATCCGTTTCGTCACGATTCTTAAAAGGAGAAGCGGAAAGGGCGACAAACGGGTGAGCCTTTCGACATTTCGAATATATTCCAAGCGAATCATGACAATGGCGAACGCCTCGACCTTTAAACACCACCAACTATACTAAAGAGAGGACATTGAAGTAAGAAAAAGAAAGAAATAAATAAAGAGAGAGATGGAACGTCGATTACACGTAAAATGGTATTGGTAGGTAGGTTAACTTGTTCGATGGGATACATCATAGTCGATAATATATTTCAATTCAGAGTTTGGAAACGTGTGATATGTTTTTTTTTTAGAATATATTTTTATCCCCAACAATTTTATTTTTTTTTATTTCTCGCGTTTCTTAACAGTATTATATATGTGTGTTTGTATGTTTGTTTGTGTGAGTTTGAGATATACTGATTTTTATTGAAAATTCTTTTTGTCACGTGTGATATACTTGTCGCACACATTTGAAATATAAATTTGAATCAATTTTAATTCCATATATATTGAAATATAATAATAATATATATATAATACACAATGATTAAATATGGAAGAAAATTTTGTCGATTTACTAATTACTTTCTATAAGCTTATTATACATTTGCAATGAAAGTTTAAAAATATATTCGTTAAAAATTTGACATTGCACAAGATAATAATGACGTTTACCATGTGTATTTACTTTTCTCGACTATTAATGTATACTTAAATAGAACTAAGCGAAGGTAAAAAGAAAAATACAACAAAAAATTACGAGATATAACCACGAATTAAATATTTCTTTTTCAAATACCGAAATTACGATATAATGACGAAATGAAAGTAATAATTATGATAATAATAATAATAATAATAATAATATAATAATAATAATAATAATAATAATAATAATAATAATACATAATTTATATTCATGAGCACATCATTCGAGTATCTTCCGAGTGAGAGTCTTTAAGTTTCTTATGAAAAACATTGTGTTTTCTGCGAGAGATCGGATATTAACCGTGACCTTCTTTCTTATTTCTATGTTCTTTTTTTTATTTTTTTAATATCTTATTATTAAAAACACTTTAACAGTAAG